GCGCCATACTAGAGCCATTTGAAGAGTAGGCACATAAGTATGTAATTAATTAATTCATTTCATTGGTTTCTTTGATGTTTCAGTAGTATAAACTAAATTAATTATTTTCAAGTCATATTCATATAAAGAGCAGGTACATGAGTATAATCTTCTTACACTTTGACAGTTTGAATAAATTTTTGTGATTCAATTTTGTAAGACTAATAAAAAAACTGAGTTCGGCCGGGGAATCATCTCCGATCGGAAGTAGAACTCCTTCTCATTTGATTAGAGTTGAGACACCTTTGAGTTCCACTGTAGGTATTTTTTTATTCCCTTCCGTTTTCAATTTCCAATTTTTAATTCTCATTTCCTTTCAACTTTTTACTCCCCTGTCACATATACTTCATTCTCTTGCACTATGGTTACAGTGTACATTATTCAATAGCGCAGGATTTTGTTACTAAGATGACAATTAGTTAACATCTTGACATTAGTTATAGTAATAGTTATTTCTTCCTCTATGTTAATATTGGGGAGTGTTACTAAGATGACAATTAGTTAACATCTTGATATTAACTATAGTAGGATTCATGTTCTTTAGTATTCTTCCTTGAGTACTAATTAATTCATATTCATATTTCATATTAATATTTTGAACATTACTTAAAGGATCAACTAGTTTTGTTTCATATATTAATTATTACTAGAATCGATCGACGAATACGTTTGTTAATCGTTCAATCGTTTCACGGTAGTAAACTTGGGTTATTAATGCATGCGTTTCATGGTTAATAAACTAAGGGGAATTAATTATGTTGAATAAACCAATAAACTGCTTGTGTTGAGGTTATCAATCTCAATCGTTTTCATCTTGATTTTATTGCTACTATCAGGTTAATATATGGCGTGTGTTCTATATTAACTCGGTAGTAAGTTTTATTAATGAACGCGTCTCGTTATTAATAACTACCCTCGATGAACTGGATATACTCCTTGATTAAGTATTCGAGAGGAAGATAGTTAAAGATATAACCGGGATCGACGAACATTTCATTAAGTGGATAAAAGCAAAACCTAGTCTTCATCTCTATTAAAGTAAATCACATAAGTCGTTCATCTTAGTGGTAATCAAATCAAATCAAACACAACTATAATCCCCCCTTTGTTACTAGTTATAATATAAAAGAAAAATATTCTTTTCCCTATGGATATGAACCTTACTTCAATATACTACATATATTTGTTGTATTGAATATTTATTTTGAGTGCACACCACGACAAAGTGCACATCAAATTTGGCGTCGTTGCCGGGGAAAGACAATTATTTTTCTTTTTATTTTATTTCAAGAAAAATAAAAAAAAATAGAAAACAAATATATTATGTAAATATAAGGATTTTTATTCATCCGAGCTTTGTTTGAGTATATGGTTAAACACCGATCTATAAACCAAATCACCTACCAAACAAACCCCGAAATAGAACAAGCCTTCGAGAGGTTTAGGAATTTAATGGCCTAAGAGGCGAGGATGCAAACAAACATCTTGCGGAGTTTCATATAGTTTGCATTAGTATGAAACCGAATAATGTCACCGAAGAACAAATCAAGCTGAGGGCCTTTCCATTCTCACTGAAGGACACGGCTAAGGATTGACTATTCTATCTTCCCTCGGGAAGCATAGATACATGGGCGGCAATGAAGAAATGTTTCCTTGAAAGGTACTACCTCGCCTCCGTCTCATTATCTTTAAAAAAACAAATAAGCAACATTGATCAAAAAGATGATGTGACCTTATATGAATATTGGGATCGGTTCAAAAAGTTATGTGCTAGTTGCCCTTATCATGGCTACACCGAGCAAGACCTCATACTCTACTTTTACGATGGTCTTGTTGATCAAGATAGAAGAATGGTGAATGCCGCTTGTGGGGGTGACATTGTCAACAAAACCCCCTCACAAGCAACAAGCTTGATCTCGGAGTTGGCCGAGAACTCTAGGCATTACAACGGGCGGTCCTCAACCCGTAAAGTTGTCGCGGCGGAATCATCTTCATCGTTAGAAAGTCAAATGGCCGGCTTGACTTCTTTGGTTAAGGATTTCCTCTTAAATCCTAGAAACCAAGAGGTCAAGGTCTGTGGCATATGCACACAGCAAGGACATCCAACCGATTCTTGCCCAACTCTCCAAGAAGAACAAGTCAATGCCTTGGGTTTCCAATCTCATCAACAAAAGAGGTACGATCCACACTCTAACACTTACAACCCCGGGTGGAGAGATCATCCGAATTTGAGATATGGGAACCCTCAACCACAACAAAATCAACCCTTTCAACAATCCTTCCCAAATCATCAAGGCCAAACTTCAAGCTCAGGTATGTCCACCGAAGACATGATTCGAGCACTTGCTGCAAATATATCAACGATGCAACAAAGTGTGGCTCAATTTCAAGAAACAAAAAAATCTAGCATCCAAAATTTGGAAAATCAAATGAGCCAAATCTCAAGTGCGGTGAGCCGACTTGAGGCAAAAGACTCGGGTAAACTCCCATCTCAAACGGAACAAAACCCGAGACAACATGTTAATGCAATCATGTTGAGGGATGAGACAACATTGAGAGGGGTGCAGGAGGAAGAGAAACAAGCTCAAAATGGGGTTGATCTTGGAGAAGATTTTCAACCGGACGAGGAGGAACCAACGAAAAGAACTAAATTCTCTCCACTTTCATCATACGAACCACTCTCTCCATTCCCTGAGGCACTGAAGGACACAAGGAAGCTGAAGAATGATCGGGACCTCTACGAGACCTTCATCGATTCTGAGGTAAACATCCCACTCTTTAAATTAATTAAAAGTGTTCCCCGTTATGCAAAGTTTTTCAAAGAACTATGCACAATAAAAGGGGAAAATAAATTGAAGGGGAAACAAAAAGTTGAGGTTAGTGAACGTGTCTCGGCCATTTTTCAAAAGAAACTTCCTAAGAAATGTAGCGATCCAGGCATGTTCACTATTCCTTGCAAAATAGGGGATACCATATTTTCTAAGGCCTTATTGGATTTAGGAGCATCAATAAATGTCATTCCTTATTCCTTATATAAATCCTTACAACTTGGCCCACTACGTCAAACTGGTGTAGTGATTCAACTAGCGGACCAGTCTAATACTTACCCGAAGGGTGTAGTAGAAGATGTGCTAGTAGAAGTAGAAAATTTGGTTTTCCCTGTTGATTTTTATGTTCTGGAAATGGGAGATGATAACCAAACTACACCCATTCTTTTGGGAAGACCCTTCTTGAAAACCGCAAAAACAAAAATTAATGTGTCCAGTGGTTCATTAACAATAGAATTTGATGATCAAAAAGTAGAATTCAACATCTTTGATTCTACCGAAAAACAAATTAAAGATCAATCTCTTTGTTCTTTAAATGTTTTTGAACCACCACCAACACCAAATATTTTTGTTGAGAAGGAAACTAAAAAATTCTCAATTTTCAAAGAAATAAAAATTGAGCCAAAAAAATCTATTTTGAAAGGAGAAGAACTGAAAAAGTCGCCTCAGTGCAAGTTAAAACCACCTACACTTGAAGTGGTAACAAGAAAGAAAGTTTGGCCTTACTGGAAAAGGCCGAGGAAGAAAGCTGAAATGTGGACAAACATGGCCTTTGAAAATGAAACAAGAGATGTGTTCATGATCCCACATAAAACAGAAAATAAAATAAAAATAACGTCGTGCCGCGACATTAAATAAGGCGCTTCTTGGAAGGCAACCCAAGTTTGTATTTTGATTACTAGCATTTCTTTTTTGATGTGTGAGAAAACCTTTAAAAAAACAGAAAAGTGCATGTTTTGAAGAGAAGGAAGCATACTCGGTCGAGTACCATATATACTCGACCGAGTTCGGATACCTGGGGTGAAAAACAAACAAAAAAAATGTTTTTGGCAATACCCAGTCGAGTACTTGGAATACTCGGTCGGGTATGTGCAGAAAATCGATCCCAGAACCTACTACCTCAGACGCGAAAACAGGTGTTTAAAGACATACCCGGTCGAGTATGTCTAATACTCGGTCGCGTATCGATGGAAATGCAGGTTCCAGACCTCACTGCCAGCGCGCAAAAACACCCACTTCTAGACATACTCGACTGAGTATCGGAGGATACGCAGTTGAGTATACGAATTTTTAAACTAAACTCGTCCGATCAGTCGCCCTATTTCATCTTCCCCAACCCAACATTTGCTTTCTCTCTCTACAAACACCACCATTTTCAAACCTTCAACCTTCAATTACTCCCTCATTTCTCAACCAAATCCTCCCAAACCACCACCAAAATTCTCCCCTCACTCTCCTCTACACACTAATACCCATCAATCCTATCCTCTCCCCTAAATTCGAAATCCGAAAACCCCTACCCCCAAATCCCAAAAGTCCGAATTTCTTAAGAGCCTAAGAGGTACTCATGGCTCCCAAACGAGATAGGGTCGTGACACAATTAGCAAGGACACCAGTTCCAGGCTATGAAAGGGTCTGTTTCAGAAACGACGAACACAGGGCGAAATTTGTTGAACAAATTGAAAGAGAGGTACACCCTTCACGTTTTTTGTGTCATGCTACTCTTACCATTCTAGGTATCCTTGAAACAATGCATGCTTTGTTCATGAAGTTGAGTATGGAATTGATTTTTGGCATGAAGTACAATTCAAATGAGGATGTTATCTATGAGTTTTTGAGCTCGGCCATGTTTGTATCAAATGCACATGATTTTCTTGAGGACAAACTCACGTTTAGGTATTCCAACACTGAACGTTCAATTACAAAACATGCGTTTGCAAATCATTTTGGCATCCCGATTCCTGATATGAGGAAAAATTCCGATGACACGAGTTATGGGCATAACATGTGGAAAACAATGACGGGAGAAGAGAGAGTTAGTTGACTTAGTTCCTCTTCACTCACTATAACTCATGTCCAACACCCGGTACTTCGCATATTCTTGAAGTTTTTGGCTAATAGCATTCTTGGGCGCGCAAACAACCATCACACAAGAATGGGTGATGTATGCTTATTGACCATGTCTCAAAATGCAAATGCAACACCCTTTAACTTGTGCAACTTGATGTGGGAACATCTCAAAAAAGAATGCAAGGCAAAGGGGACTATTTGGGCGGGAGGAGTAATTATGCATTTGACAACAAAATTTGGCTATACGGATCGTCATCCTATAGCTGACTACTGTTTGATGGACATTGATTATCCGACCAGTGCCTTATGTATCTCCCATTCCCATTATAATAAGCTAGGTAAGGACTACTACAAGTGGACTATTCATCCTAGGCCCTTCTGATATTTCACTTTGCCCTCCGATGACCTACCTCCACTTATTTTCACTGAGGATATGAGCCATGTACGCCACTACTTATTTCCCAATGCCATACCTCCACACCTCCGACATCCTGTAGATGATCTACAGGAAGAGCATCATGAAGATATGCATGAGGACATGCCCAACCCACCTCAAAACCCACCTCAAAACCCACCTCAAAACCCACCGCAAAACCCACCGCAAAACCCTCCTCCAACCGACTATTTCCAACAACTTCTAGCCGGATTTCAAAACATGAGCACGGACTACAAGACCATGGTGGGTCAATTTGACCAACTTAGGCAAGAAGTTGTTTGTTATCGAGAGGAGCAAAGCACGGGATTTCAAATATTGGAGGAGGACCGCCAAGCGGACAATCAACGATATGAGGAAGATCACCGTAGGATGTATGGTCCAATGTACTCCTACATAGCTCACCAAGCCTCTTATAATGCTATGGCCACCCCACCTCCACCACCCTCATGGTATGACCCCACTCACTATGGTAGTTTTGGGGGATCGAGTTCTGGCGGTGGGGGCTATGATGGCGGATTCGGAGGAGATGCCACTATGGGCGACGAAGGCACCGGTGGTGGTTTTGGAGGCGGTTTCTATGGTGGCAAGGGCGGGCACTAGGGATAGTGCTTGGATTAAGAAGGGGGGAGACTCCTCATGGGTATGTAAATTTCCTGTTTCTACCTTGTACTGAGCATTATTTTCTTTGTTTTTTTTTAAATAGTAATAAAAAGAAAAAATGCTAGTTAGGTTGAAAACCCAAAAACGGGCAATCTAAGCAAAAAGGGCTTATAAACAAGAAATAAGTGAGTTGGAAAGGATGGAAAAATTAAAAGAGGTGCTAAGATGAAAACCTGAAAAGGCTCCTAAGCAAAATGAGAGATATGAGAGAAATATCTGTTTTTTTTACAGGACCTCATTTGATCTCTTGAAAGAAGAGGAAGGGAAGAAGAAGAAGAAGAAGAAGAAGAAGAAGAAGAAGAATAAAAGTTTGAGCATAGAAGACCCAAAAAAAAACCCAAGAACAATGTTGTTTTATAAACTCATTTAGATTCCTTGGTGGTCTTACGTTCTTTCCTTTTAGCCCTCATTAAAACTCTTAAATGTTTTGGAAAATTCTACTTTACTCGAGGGCGAGTAAAGAGCTAAGTGTGGGGGAGTTTGATACCTTTGTAATTTCCATGTGTATGTTTGTATTTTTAGTTAATTTTGTTGGTTGATACTTTGGAAATTACACACTTTTGGTGTAATATTTTAGTTTGCAAAATTATTTGTAATTTGTTTAGATTAGGATTATTCTGAGCTTAGGACAGGTCAAAATCATCCCAAGAATCAAAGGATGGATCCTAAAGACCAAAGAATGTGCAAAAAGGAGAAGATCAAATGAAAATTTTGAAATTTGTTCAATACTCGGTCGAGTACTGCCAATACTCGGTCGAGTATTGGCCAGATACGCTGGTCAAAATCAAATCTGGGAGCAAAAGAACGTGGTTGAATATTTGATGAAAATCATGTCTCATACTCGGTCGAGTATTGGCAATACTCGGTCGAGTATGCCTATTTTTCACAATTTCCTGGAAATTTCCTCTCATACCCGGTCCAGTATCCCATATACTGGATCGAGTACAGAACTCTGCCACCTCCATTTTGCTATAAATACACCCCATTTCCTTCACATTAAGGGAACCAATTCACATATACTCTTTAGCTCAGTTTAGATTAGTATTTTCTTTACATTTTCTATCATGTATAGTGTCCAAATGAGGAGCTAAACTCTTCCATCTTGGTTTTGCTACTTTAAAGCTTAATGAATTTGTAAGTTGTGAGTTATTCTCTTTAATTTTCTTCCTTGAATATTACTTCTTCCTTTAAATACTATTTCTATATCAATGTTGGGGAGTGTTACTAAGATGACAATTAGTTAACATCTTGACATTAGTTATAGTAATAGTTATTTCTTCCTCTATGTTAATATTGGGGAGTGTTACTAAGATGACAATTAGTTAACATCTTGATATTAACTATAGTAGGATTCATGTTCTTTAGTATTCTTCCTTGAGTACTAATTAATTCCTATTCATATTTCATATTAATATTTTGAACATTACTTAAAGGATCAACTAGTTTTGTTTCATATATTAATTATTACTAGAATCGATCGACGAATACGTTTGTTAATCGTTCAATCGTTTCACGGTAGTAAACTTGGGTTATTAATGCATGTGTTTCATGGTTAATAAACCAAGGGGAATTAATTATGTTGATTAAACCAATAAACCGCTTGTGTTGAGGTTATCAATCTCAATCGCTTTCATCATGATTTTATTGCTACTACCGGGTTAATATATGGCACGTGTTCTATATTAACTCGGTAGTAAGTTTTATTAATGAACGCGTCTTGTTATTAATAACTACCCTCGATGAACTAAATATACTCCTCGATTGAGTATTCGAGAGGAAGATAGTTAAAGAATAACCGGGATCGACGAACATTTTATTAAGTGGATAAAAGCAAAACCAAGTCTTCATCTCTATTAAAGTAAATCACATAAGTCATTCATCTTAGTGTTAATCAAATCAAATCAAACACAACTAAAATCCCCCCTTTGTTACTAGTTATAATATAAAAGAAAAATATTCTTTTCCCTGTGGATACGAACCTTACTTCAATATACTACGTATATTTGTTGTATTGAATATTTATTTTGAGTGCACACCACGACAAAGTGCACGTCAATGGAGTTGTTAAAATTCCTCCGAGGGAGTTCGAGGTATTTTAATCCCTTTGAGCCAAGAGATTTTTCCTCGTTAAATTCTTGTGCACTTTACTATTTTGCAAATCCCTTTACCCCACACTAGAACTGGGTGAAAAAATGTCACGGTTCCGCACACACAATTCACCCTCCCTCTTGTGTTGCTAACTGTTTCATCATTGGTTCATGCAACGACCTGGGTGGCAGATCTTGGCTTTCGAGATTTTCAGGTGGAAATGGATTCCACCGAGGTTTTGGAGTATATCTCTTGCAGTCGGATTGGAAGATGGGGTGTGGAGGTGCGCCGCTTGTTGACTCTGTCTAACAAAAGGGGTATTTCCTTTTTTGTTGTTTGGAGGGAGGGTAATTGGGCCGCCCACTTTGTGGCAAAATTGTATTTGGGCCTGGGCATGATCTATAAACAGATTGATGAGTTGCCCACTACGGTCCGAAGCTCGGTCTATCTTGATATGTTTGGACTAGCATCTTTGAGAATAGCTTGGTAATTATTTTATTATTTGTTAAAAAAAGAAGGTACTTAACTTTTAGAGAACAGGTGCCCCAAGGTAGCAATTTTTCTTTAAAACCCCTTTTGCAGTGTCATTACTGCTGGCATTATTAACAATGACAGTAGAGACATATTTCAATCTCTATCTACCAAGAAAGACTCTAGATCTTTGGCTTGGTACTCCTCTATGTGTGAAGTCATAGGAACAAAGAAGATTATCTTCAAAAACACATGGGGAGTTAGGTGCTTTGTTAAACCCCATGACACGGGGTAATTTTCAAGTTTCAAAACGAATAAGATAAAATAAAAGTTTGAAAAAAAAATCTCTTTCTTACGTTGTGAAAACTATTATTCCTTTCATACCCTAAAGAAACTCTTACTTTAACTTTTATGATGTTTCATATGATTTATATTTCTTATTTAAATATCAGAAATAATATACCTTTCAGTGCATTAAGAAAAAATATCACATGAAAGGTATGAAAGGATTATTTAATATATTTCTTATATTTCTTATTTAATTTCTTATTTAAGTAGGTATTAGTTTTTCATTTTATTTTTTGTACAATTTTATATTTGCATTTGATGTGTGTTTGATTTATATTTACTTAAGATTTGTTGTATCATTTTATGTGTGATTTATCTATTTTCTTATGTGTGTGCGGTTATGTGTGGGCATTGTTATGATTTGTTACGTTATTTTTCTTATATATGTAATGTTATACTCCGTACAACACACATAGTATGAAATAACTAATGACAAATAAGAAGAAGTATATAGCTAGAGTAAAGATAGTGAACAAATATGTCACTTTTTATGTTTTAGTGACTATCATAGTAACTTTAGTAATTGCATTTGCGCTTAATTGTACATCATATTGACTATGCATAGTAAATATAGTCTTATTTTTTCCCATAATATAAATATTTCAATCATATTCAAGAAAAAACCTGATTTGATATTCACTTCATAATTTCTAAATTTTAGTCATTTAGTTTCGAAGGTTTTATATAATGGGACTATTCTACAAAATGCTTTACATGAAGTGTTTTCAGTGTTGTTTACTTTTAGTAGATAATTCTATTACTCTTTTACAATCTCATTAAAAAGTAATTTTTCCTTTATTACGATTCTATAGATGATTTTAGGGAGAATTTGACTTTGCACCCCACTTTTTGGTTGATATTGGACTTTGCACCCCATTTTAAAAAACCTTTGACTTTGCACCCTATCATATAACATTTGTGAAGGGAAATGTCTAAATGGGGTGCAAAGTCAAAGGATTTTGAAGTAAAATGGGGTGCAAAATCAAAGTTTTTTTAAAATGGGGTGCAAAGTCCAATATCAACCAAAAAGTGGGGTGCAAAGTCAAATTCCCCCATGATTTTATTCTACTAATAATTTCATTAAAGAACAACGGTGTACAATTTTTGGTTTCAGATTAAGTTCATGAAAAAAATTCGCCTATACCATTTGAATAACACTAGACCGGCACTGGGTGAGCAGTTGTTCAAGAATTATGTTTCACTGCGCATGTCAAGTCACTTAATAATACTACCAGTATATGGATTCGATATACAGAACTTCAAATTGCTTAATACAAAGACAGAACTTCAAATTGATTGTGCAAAGGATAATAAAACTTAGAGAAGTTTGTTATTTATCTTATTTCTTACTACCGAGCATGACAGTAAATTAAAAATAGGAAAAGCATTATTACGTCTGGTGGAAAACATAGTACGTTATAAGTTGAACACATATTCCAAAATAAATAAATCATTGGAATCACAACCATCTGTCACTATCGAAACAATCGACGTTTTACTCAGCAGCAAGCGAGATAACCTTCTTCCCAATGTTCTTTCCATTAAAGATACTAACTAGAGCAGATGGTGCACTATCCAACCCCATAGAAATGTCTTCAATGTATACCAATTTTTTCTCCCTCAATTGTTGAATCACCCATTCTGTGTACTTTGGGACAACATGCCAATTATCAATTTCTCTAAACCCTTCCACCCTCAAGCTTTTTGTAATGATCTGAAACAAGTTGCGAATACCATCAGGCTCTTTCAGAGAGTACTGAGATATCATTCCACATATGCCGATTGTACCATGAGGATTCATGTGCCGGATCACCTCATCCAACATCGGACCACCGACGTTATCGAAGTATACGTCGATGCCCTTGGGGCAGCACCTGCAGCGTACATGCATCCCGTTACAAACGCGCAGAAAACATACCAACATTACATGCAAACATGCAATTTAATGACGGATATGATGAGTGGCGGAACTAGACATCGGGGCTCACTATATACACATACACTATAGTACTAGTAGTATACGACTTGTGAATAATAAAGATTTAATGAAATTTAACATGTGTATAATAAAAGAAAAGTATTTTTGTTGAATGAAATTCTATGTAGTGTGTTATCGTGTGTGTATAGAATTTGTATTAGGGTCATCCTGTGTAAGCTATGTATCAAGGGCCTATTGGTCCATCTTTGTAAACCCTAATCTCTCCTTATTTATATGGCATTTGGTAATGAAACCACACACAGTTATCTCTACAAGACATTATTAGCACGAGTTCTCCATAAATGTTGGCACTCTTGATTTTCTTTACCTAAATACTCCCTCCTTTCCTATTTTAGGGAACAATTAACATTCGACAATTTAAGCTTTAAATATTAGCAATAATACATTTATAACATTAAAATTATCAAAACACTAATCTCATTTATTGAAAGGTTCACATGGAGGATAATTTCAGATAGTTACGATGTTATTTTGTTCTGATCTTTTAATAATCAATATTCATGTTCATCATTTTATAAAGAGTAAAATACATAAATGGTCCTTAAACTATCATCACCATATCGTTTTGGTCCTTCAACTAATAAATCTATCACTTTAGTCCCTATTCTATTTAATGCATCTTAATTTGGTCCTTCTGTTAGTTTTGACTGTTTCCATTCACGTGGTCAAACATACACTATTTTATAAATTGTTATAAGACCCATCTTTAACTAAATAATTTCCTTTTTGCCAAAAAAACTGAATAATTCCCTTGTTGATAAATATTAACCTTAATCAAACATAATTTTAAATATTAATATGTTGCCCTTACTCAACAATCAATTACTCAAATATATATATTACGTAGTATTA